GTTGACCAGTTTGATGGAAGTATTTCAGATTGCATGTGAAAACCCCACACTGTACCCCAGAAGTGCATTAATGTACATAGTTACCATTCAATTAAAAAAAAAATGTTAAAGCAATTTTCTTTGTCCATTGTCAACATATCTATGGTATAGTTATCGATGGTGCCCTGGCAATAAGAGAGAGACTTATAAAATTAATAAGAGATAGTAAAATTGCCACCCAAAACTCACGTTTGATGAAGATATTATTATTACAAAGTACATCAAAAAAATTTATGTGCAAAAGCTTTAAAAATGGAATCATGCAAGTCATCATCAAGAATGTAAATTTCGTAAGAGCCAAGGGATTGAATCATTATTGATGATGATTATTGTGACATCATTTACCTTTTGAAAGTAAGATGGCTAAGTTGAAATGATTTTATGATTTGGGACATGTCATCTAATATTGAAAAGATTTTATGATTTGGGATGTGTTAAACAGACATTTATCGTATCAAAAACTAAATTTGTTACAGAACCTGATCATGAAAACTGGCTTACAGATTGAGCATTTTTAGTGAATTTAATCACTAACTTAAATGAGTTAAACATGTGTCTTCAAGGTGAAAACCAACTTATTAATACAATGCTTCAAACCATAACAGTGTTCCTAATGAATCTAAAATGATGGCAAGTTCATATAAAGGCAACCAATTTTATGCATTTTTGACACATTGGTTAAATCTGCACAGTCCTGTAGAAATATGCAGCCTTGTTTTTTGATTTGATGCAAGAATTTGAAAACATATTTCAAGATTTCTGGGAATATAATCAATGCTTTTGTGTAGTTGTGATTCCATTTCAGTTGACACATGTGCCAGTTTTCAAGTGGAATGCATAGAGCTGCAATTTGATGTTCAGCTTAAAGAAAAATGTGTTCATGTCTCTTTACTGGACTGTTATATATATATGTATATATTTGTCTTCCCACAGACAAATATTTCTCACTTTATAATCATACCTTACTCGTGTCATTGTTTTTTGGTAGCACCTACATTTGCAAGCAACTACTTTAAAGAAAGAAGCACATTAGAAGCAACAAATCTGATGAAAACCTTGAGAACTCACTGAGAATTGCAACGACTTCATCAAACCAGGTATTGAGATCTTTGTTTCTCAAATACAATGTCAAATATCCCACTAGTTTTATGTTGCCCTCTTTTCTTTTACTTTTATCATAAAAATATTTTCAAGAGAGTTTTATTACTTAGATATGTAGTTTTCTATATTAATTATCACAAACTTGGGACCTGGTCAATTTTAAAAGACTTTGTGAATGGGCCTTTACACACTTAGGATTATGTGAGAACTTTTTTGGTTATTTGTGATTACAGATATCATGAAAGTTACGCATGAGCTTATATTGTTGTTGTTGTTGCCCATCAGCTTTCATCAGTGTTTGTGTACTTGATGTGTGGCTCAGGACAACTCTTATTCTAGCATGGCCCAGAGAAGCTGAAAGGTTCTGAGACACTCCCAATCTAGGGTCTAGTTCCTCCTGCAGTGACATTCATCACATTGTTCTATGCCGTTTGTTAACTTCCATAAGTCTCTGCACTGTCAGTGATAACAACCATGAATCTTCCCAAGCCCTTCTATGTGCCAAGCACTCCTTACATGTATTTACTGTAACCAGAGTCCTATGAATCCCTACTTTGCATATGAGCAAACCAAGGCTTAGAAAAACTAATGTGTCAATGAGCGACGAAACCTGGGTCTCAAATGGTATCCATCCATTTCAGAGTCCAAATTCTTTTTTTTTTTTTTTTTTTTCAGTTTTTGACCAGGGCCAGGTTTGAACCCACCACCTCCAGTGTATAGGGCCAGTGCCCTACTCTAAGCCACAGCCACCACCCATCTTTACCTCTAATAATCAAAAACTATAACCAATCCAAATGTCCATAAACAAGAGATAGGGTATACCTACCTAATGGAATGGTATTCAACAACAAAAAGGAAGAAACTATAGATAAACTATAGATACATATAACATCATTAATGAATCTCAAACTAATTATGCTGAATAAAGAAATCAGGCCACTAACTCCACCATATACTATATGGGTGATGCCATTTATATGTGTGTATAATAATCTAGAAAATGCAAGCTAGTCCATAGTGACAGAAAGAGACCACTGGTTGCCTGGAATGGGGATAAGGAGGGGAAAGGGGAGCGTTTATGAAGGAACATGAAGAAATTTTTGAGAGTGATGAATATATTTAAATTGTGGTGATACTTTCACAAATGTATTTATATACGAAAATGTATCGAATTTAACATTTTAAATATGTGCAGCAAGGGCAGCGCCTGTGGCTCAAGGGGTAGGGTGCTGGCCCCATATGCCGGAGGTGGTGGGTTCAAACCCAGCCCCAGCCGAAAAAAAAAAAACTATAAATATATACAGTTCATTGTATGTCAGTTACTATTTCAATAAGGCTCCTATAAAAAGACATGACTAAGAAAATTAAAAGATAAACCAGAAAGCCATAGACTGGGAGAAAATATGTGCAAATCACACATGTGATAAAGGACTTATATCCATAGGCAAAAAAAAAAAAATCACAGGTGGATTTTGTGGCATATAAATTATACTTTAATAAAGCCATTTTCTTAAATGCAATATAAATAGACAGTTAAACCAGAATAATCCAAGCCATCCTCCAGCAATTTACCTGAGATTCCTTCAGTGCTTGTTTTCCCCACCAAATTGGGTTGGTATCAACTATGATAACTAGAAGATTCAATTCATCTTCTGAAAATTAACAAGAAAGAAAATTAAAAAATATTAGCCTTATAAAAATGAATCAAAGCTAACATTCTCAATTCATAAGTGAAATCCAGAGCAAATACCACTACATGCCTTTAAACGTTTATCATCCTACAATTGAGATTAACAATTAAAGATGGAAAGCTCAATTGGCTCTTGTCAAGGTCTTGCCTGCTTCCTGTAAGAATATAAACTCCATGAGGACAGGGACTTTTGTCTGTTTTGTTTACTCTTTCTCCTCAGCTCCCAGCATACTGCCTACCACATAGCAGATGCTGAATGAAGGTCTGCTGAAGGAACCCAAAGGTATTTGCATTTTGCCTAGTCAAGGACAGAGGCACTGATTAATCAACAGCAGGAATCCCAATGGAGAATTTGAGACATGAAGAATTAAAGGGAGACATAGGAATCAATGTGGCCCAGTCCATCAAATCACCTATCAACAAGGCCAAATGTAGACAGGAGTCAAATTTTAAAAGATTAAGATCCAGGCCAGGTGTTGTGGCTCATGCCTGTAATCTTAGCACTCTGGGACGCTGAGTCAGGTGGATTGCTTAAGCTCAGAAGTTCGAGACCAGCCTGAGCAAGAGTGAGTAGCCAGGCATTGTGGCAGATAGCTGTAGTAGTTCTGGCTACTTGGAAGGCTAAACCCAGAGGATCACTTGAGTCCAAGAGTTTGAGGTTGCTGTGAGCTATGATGCCATAGTACTCTACCAAGGGAAACAGTGAGACTATGTCTCAAAAAAAAAAAGAATAAGATCCAGAGGGTACAGCAATTCCTATGTAAAAAGAATTTACTGGCGGCACCCAAAGCTCAGTGGGTAGGGCACCTGCCACACACATAGAGGCTGGTGGGTTCAAACCCAGCCTAGGCCAGCTAAAAACAACAATGACAACTGCAACAACAACAACAACAAAAAAAATAGCCAGGCATTGTGGCAGGCGCCTGTAGTCCCAGCTACTTGGAAGGCTGAGGCAAGAGACTCACTTACAGCTAAGAGTCTGAGGTTGCTGCGACCACACCGCATTCTACCTAGGGCAACAGCTTGAGACTCTGTCTCAAAAAAAAAAAAAGAATTTACTGTGAAAAGAAATTAGGTTACTTTTGAAAGTGACAAAACAACTAAACAGCCTACCTCAACATATTAATCATTCTTTTCAACTTTTTTTGACAGGTAGTTCTCACTGTGTTACCTAGGTTGGTCTCAGACTCCAGAGCTCAAGCAATCCACAGGCATCAATGATAGCAAGTTAATCATTCAACAAACATTTACACTAAGTATCAATATAAGGCATTGGGGATAATAGATCCCAACCCTCAGAGAGCATACACTCTAAAAAAGGTGACAGATGTATAAACTTGTTAAGCGTACAGTTCTGAAAAGCCCACGATGCTCACTTAAAAGCAAAAAGAAGCAATCCTGCCTCTATACCGTCCTTCTTGCAGCCCCCTACCTCCCACATCAGGATAAACCCCACCCCATCTCTGCATATTCAAATCCTCATTACTCTTCAAGGGTCAAACCAATGCTGCCTCTTTCTTCCAGCCGGAGGTCAAGGTTCCCCTATCTCAGGGGAACAGGAACGCCAGCCTTCTCTGCACCAGGTACTGGCATCTGTAATACTATAATCCCATTCCATCCTGACAACCCAGCAAAAAACATATTACTGCCATTTTTCGCCAATTATAAGATGTACCTCCCCCATTTTTTTTCACATTCAGTAATTGCAGAAATTCAAATGGTGCTTTACCACTAAGACTGGCATATTTTTGTCTTCTTGGTGGTATGTTAAATAAGGGCACACTTCATAATCACTATTGTCCTAGATGAAATATGGCATATGATATTCCTATCTTGCAAATGAAACAACACACCCTAAGTCACATGGCCTGCTAGCAAGTGGCAAGGTCAAAGCCCTGCTCCAAAGAAAGATCTGCTTGGTTTCTAAAAACTGTAACTCTTGGCTGGTTGGGATGGCTCAAGATTGTAATCTCAGCACTCTGGGAGAACAAGATGGGAGGAATGCTCGAGGCAGGAGTTCAAAACCAGTCTGAGAAATATAGCAAGATCTAGTCACTACAAAAAAGTTTAAGAATTTGGCTCAGTGCCCATAGCTCAGTGGTTATGGCACCAGCCACATACACCAGTTCGAGTATGGCCCGAGCCAGCTAAACAGTGACAACTACAGTAAAAAAAAAATAGCTGGGTGTTGTGCTGGGCGCCTGTAGTCCAGCTACCTACAGTCCCAGGTATTGTAGTCCTAGACTGAGGCAAGAGAATCGCTTAAGCCCAAGAGTTTGAGGTTGCTGTGAGCTGTAATGTCATACCACTCTACTGAGGGTGATATAGTGAGACTGTCTCAAAAAACAAAAAAAGTTTAGGGAAGTGCTTGTGGCTCAAAGGAGCAGGGCACTGGCCCCATATACTGGAGGTGGCAGGTTCAAACTGATGCTGGCCAAAAACTGCAAAAAAAAAGGTTTAAGAATTAGCTGGGGGCTCGGCTCCTGTGGCTCAAGCAGCTAAGGCGCCAGCCACATACACCTAAGGTGGCGGGTTCGAATCCCCAGCCCAGGCCCGCCAAACAACAATGAGGGCTGCAACCAAAAAATGGCCAGGCGTTGTGGCGAGCGCCTGTAGTCCCAGCTACTTGGGAGGCTACGGCAGGAGACTCGCTTGAGCCCAGGAGTTGGAGGTTGCTGTGAGCATGATGCCATGGCACTCTACCCAGGGGGATAGCTTGAGGCTCTGTTGCAAAAAAAAAAAAAAAAAAAGAATTAGCTGGGAATATCCTTCACAGTAGCTTCAAAGAAAATGAAATACTTAGGAATATACCTAATAAAAGAGGTAAAGGATCTTTAAAAAGAGAATTATGAAACCCTAATAAAAGAAATAGCAGAAGATATTAACAAATGGAAAATCATACCATTCTCTTGAAGAATCATCATTAAAATGTCTATTCTACCCAAAGCAATCTACAGATTCAATGCAATCCCAATTAAAATACTAACATCATACTTTGAAGAACTGGAAAAAATAGTATTTCATTTTGTATGGAACCAGGGAAAAACTCATATGGCCAAGGCTATTCCTGTTAGTAATAAAAACAAAGCTGGAGGCATCGCCCTACCAGACTTCAGGCTATATTACCAGTACACAGTAATCAAAACAGCATGGTATTGGCACAAAAATAGAGACATAAACATACGGAACATAATAGAAAACTAAGAGATGAAACCAGTCTCTAGCTGCCAGTCTCTATCTTTGATAAGCCAAACAAAAACATACAGTGGGGAAAAGAATCTCTATTTCAACAAATGGTGCTGGGAGAACTGGAAAACCACATTTAAAAGACTGAAACTGGACCCGCCTTTTACCACTTACAAAAATTGACTTAAGATGGATAAAAGATTTAAATATAAGACATGAAATGATAAAAATCTTAGAAGGCGGCTCAGTGCCTGTAGCTTAGCAGCTAGGGCGTTGGCCACACATACACCAGAGCTAGTGGGTTCAAACCCAACCCAGGCCTGCTAAAACAATGACAACTATAAAAAAAATCTAGGCATTGTGGCAGGTACCTGTAGTCTCAGCTACTTGGGAAGTTGAGGCAAGAGAATTGCTTAAGCCCAAGAGTTTGAGGTTGCTGTGAGCGGTGACAGTACAGCACTCTACTAAGGGCGAAACAGTGAGACTCTGGCTCAAAAAAAGAAAAAAACTTAGAAGAAAGTGTGGGAAAAACTCTTGATGATGTTGGACTGGGGAAAGATTTTATGACAAAGACTTTGGCAGCAATTGCAACAACAAAAATAAGCAAATGGGACTTAATTAAGCTGAAAAGCTTCTGCACAGCTAAGGAAACAACAACCAAAGCAAAAAGACAACCTCTAGAATGGGAAAAGATATTTGCATATTTTTAATCAGACCAAAGCTTGATAACTAGTATCTACAGGGAACTCAAATTAATCAACATGAAAAAAGCCAACAATCCCTATATCAATGGGCAAGAAAGATGAACAGGACCTTCTCTAAAGAAGACAGATGAATGTCTAACAAACATATGAAAAAATGCTCATCCCTGATCATCTGAAAAATGCAAATCAAAACCACCCTAAGATATGAGCTAATCCCAGTAAGAATAGCCCACATCACAAAGTCCCAAAGCTGCAGATGCTAGCACGGATGTGGAAAGAAGGGAACGCTTTTACACTGCTGGTGGGACTGCAAACTAAGTCAACCTCTTTGGAAAGAAGTATGGAGAATCCTCAAAGAACTCAAATTAGACCTCCCATTTGATCCTACAATCCTATTACTAGGCATTCACCTGGAAGAAAAACATCATTTTATCATAAGGACTTTTGCAGTAGATTGTTTATCACAGCTCAATTTACAATTAACAAAATGTGGAAACAGCTTCAATGCCCACCAGCCCAGGAATGGATTAACAAGCTGTGGTATATGTATACCGTGGAATACTATTCAGCCATTAAAAAAGATAGAGACTTTACATTTTTTGTGTTAACCTGAATGAAACTGAAACACATTCTTCTTAGTAAAGTATCAAAAGAATGGAGGAGCAAGAATCCAATGTACTCCATACTAATATGAAACCAGCAGATGATCTAATACACACCCACGTAAGAGAAAAAGTCAAATCAATTCAAGGCAGTGGGCAGGGGAATAAGGCAGTAGAGAGAGGGAAGGAGGAAGGAGAAGGCGGAAGGGTGTGCTCCCACTTAATGGGCACAATGTTTGTGGGTATGGCACACCTCTTGGGGGCAGGACACAATTATAAGAGGGACACTACTTAAAAACTACAAACATTGGCTCATCACCTGTGGCTCAAGTGGCTAAGGCACCAGCCACATACACCTAAGGTGGTGGGTTTGAATCTAGCCCGGGCTGCCAAAACAACAATGACGGCTGCAACCAATAAAATAGCCAGGCATTGTGGTGGGTGTCTGTGGTCCCAGCTACTTGGGAGGCGGAGGCAGGTGACTCACTTGAGCCCAGGAGTTGGAGGTTGCTGTGAGCTGTGATGCCACAGCACTCTAAAGGGGGACAGCTTGAGGCTCTGTCTCAAAAAAAAAAAAAAAACTGTAAACATTATTACCTAATTCTTTGTACCCTCAAATTAACCTGAAACAATAAAAAAAAATAAATTAGCTGGGCATAGTGGCGCACCCCTAAATTTCCAGCTACTGAGGAGGGAAGATCACTTGAGTTCAGGAATCCCAGGTTATAGGCTATGCTACAGTACTCCATCCTGGGTGACAGAGCTAGACTCTTTCTCTAAAAAAAGAAAAGAGAAAACTATGGCTCTTAACTGCCCCCTTGCCCATCTCTGACTACCCACAGCATTAAGCGATCCTCTTCTAATGACACTTAGCATTCTCTACCTCATTTTATACTTAGTTGTAAGTTTCTGATTTCTTCTCAGTCCTGCCCACTAAACAATTAATTACTAAAAGAATGATGAATTAATCCTGGGATGAAATAATAATGTGTAAATCACATAATGAAGTGTTTAGCACAGAAATACTTAATCAGTATGTCTGCCACAGGCCCACATTCCTTAAGCCTTTGGCCTTATTCTCCATCCATCACCACCCACCTCACAATCCTCCGGGCCATCCATTGCTTACTACCGCCAAGAAGCTTGAGAAAGAGAGGAAGCGTTGTCTGTGGGGAGATGTGTACATCTACACACGTGCAATGTCTCTGCGACATTCCTTCTTTTGCTTTCTACCTCCTGGTCTGTAGACAGGCAATGCCAAGCCTGCCTCCCTCACAGGGCTGTGGTACTGATTAGAACTACCAATTAATATTATTAGTATTAATAATACTAACAATCGTTACTGCCTCGGAAGGATCTCCTGGTTTCTATGATTGCTCCTCACAGTCCATTTTCCACATTGAGGCAAAAATGATTTTTTTAATTGTAAATCCTTTCATAACACTTCCTGGCTTAAAATCCTACAATGGCTTCGTATTACACTTAAAAATAAAGCTCAACGACATTATCATGGCCCACAAGGCGCCATATGAGCTGCAATTGGCTAGTTTTCTGATCTCATTCCTTTACCCCTTTTTCAAGACACCGGACTCCATAACGGGATTTAATGAATGAAAATCTCCCCCTTTTCCCTCCACCCTCAGGTTCTCCATTTCTTTTTTACTGTAACCTGGTGGCTCGACGGGCCACAGAGCCTTTGTACTCAAAAAGCACTTTCTGCAGGACTTAATCCTTAGAGTCTTAGTTTCAATGCCCCACTCTGCCGCAGCTTCCTCCTGGACCCAAATCACAATCTACACACCGTCCTATTGCGCTGTCTTCATAGTTCTTGTTAACCCTGTGGAATTATTTTTATTCCCTTGCCCACTGTCTGTCGCGCCCACTGGAAGGTAACCTCCTGTCCAGAAAGGAACGCCCAGTACACAGGAGGCGATCGGATAACAGTTACTGAATGAATGGCTGGATACACTGCGTTCTCCTTTGAACCCCAAACCAGTTCCACCCAGCCCACAGGATACACTGCATCTGAAAGGTCCTGGCCAAGTCCGCCCAGCTGCGGAGTCTGAGGTCCCGCCGGCGCTGCCCTCACCGTCCGAGACCATGGTGGCAGAGCACCTCAGCTTAGAGCAGGCAGCGGTCGGCAGGATCCGGGTCCCTCCACACCTGGACTTCCGGTGCCGCCGCGTGACGTCGGAGGTCGTTTGGCCCCGGCCGCGCGCCGTACCCTGGGCCCCGCCCCCGAAACGCCGGAAGTGAAGGGCGGAGGTGGGCCACGCGCTGTCAATCTCCGTGGCCTGCAGTCAGCGCGGTTGCTGAACTCGCTCCGGGCAGCGCGGGCGGCTCCGGGACTCTCTGGCTCCTCAGTGCTAAGGGCACCATGGACGACAAGGGTAAATCAGGACCGGCAGGATTGCTGGGTCTACAGCGGAGCCGCGCGAGGGTGCCCCTTACCTCTCACACTCAAGCGGAGCTCCCGGAGAGTTCAGGCTGCTCGTCTGCATGTGATTCTTCTAGTCAAAACTAAGTCCCCTTGGTGCTCCTGAATCCAGGGACGGGCTGTGACAGCATCCGCAGATACCCTCCCACACAGGCACGCTCTTTCCCAGCGCCATCCTCCAAAAAAGCCTTCGCCCGGTTGGATCTATTACTAAAAAAAATTTTTTAAAGGCATATTTATTGTTTCCCTAATAGAGTTACGAAAGTGTTTTATTAAGTGAAAATCAAGGGCAAACTAATATAATACCTTTTATTTTTGAGACGGAGTCTCACTTTGTCGCTTTCAATAGAGTGCTTTGGCGTCACAGCTCACAGTAATCTCTAACTCTTGGACTCAAGCGATTCTCTTGCCTCAGCCTCCCGAGTAGCTGGGACTACAGGCGCCCACCACAACGCTGGGCTATTTTTAGAGACGGGGGTCTCGCTATTGCTCAAGTTGGTCTAGAACCCATAATCTCAGACAATCTCCACCCCACCCCACCCCCGCCTGGGTCTCCCAGAGTGTAATATACCTCTTATGCCCATATGTGTATGTAAATTGACTTGGATTAGCATTGACTGTCAGAGGGGGTACAGGAGAAAATTGGTAAAGTGACTGGCTAGGACACTTTCATAACTTAGGCCCGAGGATAGGTGGGAGAATATTTTTTAGTAGAGCTTAAATTTTATGCCTTGCATACCAGTAATTTTTCAAAATAAGAAAGATCTCTCAAATAGTAAAGTGGAGCCTTCTCTACTTCCATCAATATTTATCATGTCCCTGATACTAAATACTCCAAAAAGAAAATATTTTATTTCTTTGTATGTAGACAGTCTCACTCTTGTACCCCTAGGTAGAGTGCCATGGCATCATAGCTCACAACTACCTCAAATTGCTGGGCTTGCCTCAGCCTCCCAAGTAGTTGGGACTACAGGCACCCACTGCACCGCCTGACTAGTTCTATTTTTTTTTTTTTTTAAATAGAGACAGGGTTGCTTTTGTTCAGGCTGGGCTTGAACTCCTAAGCTCAAGCAATTCACCTGCCTCAGCTTCCCAGAGTGCCAGGATTAGAGATATGAGCCACCACACCCAGCCAGAAAATATTTTTTTAATTATTTTTCTTCTTAAGGTTAATGATCATCGATAAGCTCTTTGGCCTTAAATCCTGCTAAATGAATTTGATGAATCACTTCTTTTCCAGAGTTAATTGAATACTTTAAGTCTCAGATGAAAGAAGATCCTGGCATGGCCTCAGCGGTGGCTGCCATCCGGACTTTGCTGGAGTTTTTGAAGAGAGATAAAGGTAAATATTCTGAGTCTTAGGAAAGTCTTCTAATGACTCTTAAAAATATAAAAAAAGGAGATTGATGTTTATCTGTAATAAGGTAATATACCCTTAGGCTCAGCGTCTGCCTTCATTTCATGCTTTTTAATCTGGAGAGAACCAGTCATTATTAAAGGAATCTCCTTTCATAAATGAAATATATTTTTAATCAAGAGAAACCATCTTACTGTTTTATATATATATATATATATATATATATATTTTATTTTTTTTTTTTTGAGACAAGAGTCTCAAGCTGTCACCCTGGGTAGAGTGCTGTAGCATCATAGCTCACAGCAACCTCCAACATGGGCTCAAGTGATCCTCTTGATACCAGAATTTTGGTCTTTAGTAGGTTCTTGGTCTCAGTGATTCGAAGAATGAATTCACAGACCACAGATCAGCGGTAAGACAGGATTTATTTACAGAAAAGAATACAGAAGTGCCAGAGCTCCTGGCAGAGAGAAAATTCATCAGGACAGAAAAGCACTCTCTCCCTGTCTTGTCTGTAGGCTCTTTATCTAAGGGTATATGCAAGGGGCCCTCCATAGTTACATTTAGCATGTCTGGGACATGTCTAGCCCTTGGTAGTTACATTTAGCGTGTCTGGGGTGTCTGGGACCTGTCTGGAACAGTTTGGGTCACAAATGAATGGCTACAGTCCCTTTCATTCCCAGGCCTAGGGAATGGGGACCTCCCCTGCCCACCCTCCAGTCCTCTGGTTCCACTGCTTGCTGCCACTGCACAAACATGGCCAAGGTAGAGACAGCCAGTCCGCGCCCCCTGCTCCACGAGCTGGCTGGGATTCTACTTGTCCTGTATCACTCTTGCCTCAGTTTTCCTATTTTTAGTACAAATGGGGTCTTGCTTTTTTTGCTCAGGCTGGTCTTCAACTCATGAGCCTGTGATACTAAAATGAACATTACATTCTTTGTTTGATCATTTCAGGGGAGACAATCCAGGGCCTGAGAGCAAACCTCACCAGTGCAATAGAGACCCTGTGTGGTGTGGACTCCTCTGTGGCAGTGTCCTCTGGCGGGGAGCTCTTTCTTCGCTTCATCAGCCTTACCTCCCTGGAATACTCTGTAAGCCCTCCTTCAGGGTACCTTTCTGCTTCTCTGTTTAGCTACAGATATTCTCACCTTTACGTGGATTGTCCTTATTCCCTCATTTTGTTCTTTTTCCTCCCAGGATTACTCCAAATGTAAAAAGATCATGATTGAGCGGGGAGAACTTTTTCTCAGGAGAATATCACTGTCAAGAAATAAGATTGCAGATTTGTGCCATACTTTCATCAAAGATGGAGCGGTGAGTAGTCATCCACTGTGTGGAGTAACTTGGAAAAGGGCTTTGAGTCAGACTGCTTCTGGGGAAAAACCCTGGCTCTCCTACTTACTTACTGTGTAGCCTTGGACAAGTTGTTAACCTCTGCACGGTTTTCTCATCAGTTAAATAAGGGTAACAATAGTACCTACCTCTTGGGTTATTGTGAGAATTAAATGAGATGCTATGTGTGAGGGCTCAGCACTGTATCTGGCCCATAGTAAGTGCAATATCAATGTAGATATTATTACTGTAGATAGTTGTCATGTAAACATGTAAGGAAAGACACTGGCGCAGCATAGATGATTCCTAGTAAGATGTTTTACTGAAGTATGATTATGTATGTAGTAAGTTAGTCTGAATTAAATCAGCACAGAACAGTTCTTGCCACTGTTTAATACTGAGCATCTTCCTGGTGAAAGTTAGCACTAGAAAAGGATTTTATGACTCGGCGCCTGTGGCTCAAGTGGCTAGGGCGCAAGCCACATACACCTAAGGTGGCGGGTTCAAATCCAACCCAGGCCTGCCAAACAACAATGATGGCTGCAACCAAAAAAAAAATAGCCAGGTATTGTGGCGGGCTCCTGTGGTTCCAGCTACTTGGGAGGCAAAGGCAGGAGACTCGCTTGAGCCCAGGAGTTGGAGGTTGCTGTGAGCTGTGATGCCACAGCACTCTACCCAGGGGGACAGCTTGAGGCTCTGTCTCAAAAAAAAAAAAAAGAAAGAAAAGGATTTTATTTTTAACTTAATTTTATTTTTATTTTATTTATTTTTTTTGAGACAGTCTCATTATGTCGCCCAAGGTAGAGTGCTGTGGCGTCACAGCTCACCACAACCTCCAACTCTTGGGCTTAAGCGATTCTCTTGCCTCAGCCTCCCAAGAAGCTGGGACTACAGGCGCCCACCACAATGCCCCGCTATATTTTGGTTGCGGTTGTCATTGTTGTTTTAGCAGGCCAACGCTGGGCTCAAACCCACCAGCCTCAGTGTATGTGGCTGGCAGCCTACTCACTGAGCTGCAGGTGCCAAGCCTTAACTTCATTTTAAATGCTATTACAAGGCAGTGCCCGTAGCTCAGTGGGTAGGGTGCCGGCCACACACATGGAGGCTGGCAGGTTTGAACCCAGCCCGTGCCATCTAAAATCAACAATGACAACTGCAGCAAAAAAAAAAAAAACAGCCGGGTGTTGTGGCAGGTGCCTATAGTCCCAGCTCCTTGGGAGGCTGAGGCAAGAGAATCTCTAAGCACAAGAGTTGGAGGTTGCTGTAAGCTGTGACACCACAACACTCTACCTAGGGTGACACAGTGAGACTCTGTCTCAAAAAAATAAAAATAATAATACTAATTAAAAATAAACAGGGCGGCACCTGTGGCTCAGTGAGTAGGGCGTCAGCCCCATATACCAAGGTTGGGTTCAAACCCAGCCCCAGCCAAACTGCAACAAAAAAATAGCCGGGTGTTGTGGCAGGCACCTGTATTCTCAGCTACTCGGGAGGCTGAGGCAAGAGAATTGCGTCAGCCCAGGAATTGGAGGTTGCTGTGAGCTGTGTAACACCACAGCACTCTACTGAGGATGATAAAGTGAGACTCTGTCTCTACAAAAAAATAATAATAATAAATAAACAAATGCTATTACAGAGATGCAAAACTGCCAAGTATTTATAAGTGAGTAAAGACAGGAGCTGCAGGTTAAGCCAGTCTCCCAGCAAAGGGTAATAAAACTTTTGTAACTTCTCTCCCACCAGGCATACATCCCTTCTGCCACCTAACCCTCCACTGACCATAAAATTATTTACTTGCATTTGACTCTTAAATCTTGTCCCAATCTTTGAAGTATATTATCTTTTTTTTTTTTTTTTGAGATAGAGTCTCATTCTGTCACCCTCAGTAGAGTGCTGTGGCATCACAGCTCACAGCAACCTCCAGCTCTTGGGCTTATGTGATTCTCTTGTCTCAGCCTCCTGAGTAGCTGGGACTACAGGTCCCCAAAGCCCTGCTATTTTTTGTTGCAGTTTGGCCCGGGACTGGTTATGAATCCACCACCCTTGGTATATGGGGCCAGTGCCCTACTCACCTGAGCCACAGGCGCCACCCTTGAAGTATATTATTAAGTAAATGATGTCATAGATGTAAATGGAATTTGTACAACAACCAGTTACAAACGAAACCTTTTTTTGGCTAAATGAAGGCAAGGTTGTGACTGCCTCTCACTGAGACCTGCATACTCACCATGTTGTCAGTATTCTGAAGGTTTTGTTGGCTCTAATGTAGTTAATGTGTGTATACATCACCTGCTCACACTGACTTGAGACTAAATTTAGAGCAGAGCTGCTCAACTTTGAACATGCAGATGAATCATCTGGGGTTTTATTACATGCAGATTTGAGTTCAGTAGGTTTGGGAAAGAGCCTGAGAATCTGCATTTCTAAAAAGCGGTCAGGTGAGGCCCAGAAAGGTGCTATAAAGCTGTGTCCACCATCTTGCATTACAAGATCATTTGTACTTTTCCATAGAAGTTACATACATGTCTACAAATTGCATCCATGCCACACATAGGTTGCGTTTACCCTAAACAGTGCTATTTAGAAACTAGTTTGCCAACACTTCAATGTTGGATTTTCATTCCTTCTGGGAAAATCAGATGGTCTAGCAACAGTAGGACCATGTGCTGACAATCATGTGACAGAGTTGAAGAATCCTGACTCTCCTTAGCCCTTTTACTTTGCTGCTGGCTCCACCCACTCTATTGCAATCCATTATGCTAATAAGCAAGTATGAAAACCGTATCTCAGAAATAGGGAGACCAAACCAAAGGAAGCCCAAGGCCCCTTCCAACATCCCAGGCTTTTTTATCTCATAACACTGCATGGGGCTCCACTTCTACATTTGCTATCGGAAGTGAGACCTATACTATAGTCCTCTGGCAGAAACTTTTCAGCTTGTAAGTGGGCTGGAAACACTGTACTATCAATTCTCCTTTCTGATTATAGTTGGTTTCTGAGGAAGCACACAGAAGTTTAGGATGCCAGGGATACTCATTACTGTGCAGACAGTTTAGCTGATGACTGTTAGCCCCTTTGACAAGTTTTCTCTATCCACAGAAAATACTGACTCATGCCTACTCCAGAGTGGTCCTGAGAGTCCTAGAAGCAGCTGTGGCAGCCAAGAAGAGATTCAGTGTATACATTACAGAGTCACAGCCTGATTTATCAGGGCAAGTACCTTTCTGTTCAGTTATGTGCCTGGCTATCACTTTGAACAGCAAACTGAGGTTTAGCATCTATAATAGGAACCAGAACACACCCTCTCCCCCTCCCATTTGTCAGCAGTCAGCAATGCTTTTGATTGTGCCTGTTACTGTCCCCGGAAGAAAAACTGCTATGAATTTGCAGTAGGTCACAGTATAGGAACTGGGGTGGAGGGTGGGGGTTAGTCAGAGGACCAGCAGGAGATTATGTTGAGGCAGAGTGCTTATTGAGGAATTAGGCAATTGCTGGGCACAGTGGCTCATGTTTGTAATGCCAGCAATTTAGGAGGCTAAGGCAGGAGGATCACTTGAGGTGAAGAGTTCAAGATCAGCCTGGGCAATGAGAACCCATCTCTAAGAAAAAATTTTTGGGGGGTGGTACCTGTGGCTCAAAGGAGTAGGGCACCGGCTCCATATGCTGGAGGTAGCAGGTTCAAACCCAGCCCCACCCAAAAACTGCAAAAAAAAAAAAATTTTTTTTTTTTTTAAATTAGCCAAGTGTGGTGGCAAATCCCTTTAGTTGCATCTACTTGGGAGTCTTAAGTGGGAGAGAT